TTAACGTTGAAAACAAAGATAAAGTAAAGACTTTTAAGTGGAAATACACATTGCACATTTTTTAATTTTATTTCAGAGGTGAACAAACAAATAGCTAAAATTAATAAAAATGAAAAACTTATACAAGCAACTCGATTTAAAAAAAAATTTAAGCGTTCATAATTAATCTTTTGTCACAATTGAAAATACTTCAGTAAGCAATTATTAACACGTGGACCATTAGAAGACAACTTTTAGACATTATTAAGTCCGGTATCCCTTATGGTGTTTTTTTGGTTGTATTTAGGTATATTTTATATCTTAATATTAAGAAACTAAAGTTTGCCCTCTGGTGTAAATAAATAAACTAAACTCTGTAGGATTTACTCTGAATAGAAACATTTCTGGACATGAGACTGGCTTTTAAATAGAGCCGCTTTACAACAGAACGAGAAACCTACCTTCACTGCCAATATCGTAATTTTTCATCAAATTTTTGGTTTGAAATATGGACTTAGGTATAAAAAAACAACATGAAGAAATGGTTTAAACTGTTTAATTAGACTAATGTATAAAAAATAACATTAAAGAACCTTTTTATGAATAACCTAAAAATATATTATATTATTAAATAACAAATTCCGAAAATCCAAATATCTTATATTACGTGATGTCTTGTATTTGGACAACTTTTACAGGATTGCTGCTGCCAACAATCATACATTTATTTTTAACTAAAAAAGGACGACACGCAAATTTAGCTATGTTTTGTAATAAGCAATTATCCTACGAGATCGTAATTAGGTCAATAACCACACAATTAACGCCTTATATTTTGCTCAATATTATGGAAAACTGGTTAAATTTAAAGATTTCTCAAGAAAATTAAAAAAAAATAAAAACACTACAAACACGTTATGTAAAAATTCCGACCAATTTGTAGCACTAACTGAGGCGCTAAAAAAATTCAAAGTATCGTACTTTCCACGTTTACACGACACAACTGTCAATAAACCAGTTACACTCAATAACAGTCAATTAAGTTGACAAGAAATTATTTACTGTACAAATAAATAATATATGCTAACCCACAGAGGAAAAAACAACAAAAAACACGTCGATGAATTTATTAATTTCGTCAGAAATTAGGTATTTACCTTTGGTTTTTGTGATTTATTTTCTTTACGACAAACAGTTGAATGCCAAAAGTTAATGAACAACTGCATGATTATACTTTATATAAATATCTTTTATAATAATGGTTTTCATTTTGTTCAAAATAGACGAATCTTAGCCTAATTGCATCGGTACAAATAATTGGTTCCCTTAACCTATACACATTTTAGAAAAATATATTCCACTTTGTACAGATAATTCTATCGACTATTTCATATTATTTTAATTATGAAAAATCAACAATATCTACAAAATTAAGACCAACAAATCAACTTCGTCCAAAAAAAAAAAAAACACCTTTGAACAAATACTGTAATGTATATGTAAAAACATAATTTTTTATTAATCCACAACTGTTATATTTTTGCACAGACTTTTACAAAGGTTTTAATGAATCTTCCATCACACGCCTCACTGTACATTAATTTTAATGCTATGTCATTTAGATTAGCAGTATTATATTACAATTTATCGTAATTTGGAGGTAACCAAACAATATTTTGACCTAAGTAAGGCATTTGGAGTCAATCATTCTAGACTTTGTAGCTAGGTTACAGGCACGATCAACTAATACGCCTGCAGAAGTCCAGTCCCTGAAACACAACCGATACAAATGCAAAGATTATTTTAATCTTTAAGAACTGAGTAAACTAAGTCTATGGTACTATAGTTACTTATAATACATTTCCCCATAGGGAATCAGTTCCTATATCAGTTCCTATATAAAGTGATCACAAGACGACGACAGACTACAGTGCTACAGTTAGCTAGTTTGTATCCTCACATTCATTTGTTATACTTTGTACCATAACAACAGTTCATATATAAAGTGATCACAAGACGACGACAGACTACAGCGGTACAGTTAGCTAGTTTGTCTCCCCACATTCATTTGTTATACTTTGTACCGTAACAATCAGTTCCTATATAAAGTGATCACAAGACGACGACAGACTACAGTGCTACAGTTAGCTAGTTTGTCTCCCCACATTCATTTGTTATACTTTGTACCGTAACAATCAGTTCCTATATAAAGTGATCACAAGACGACGACAGACTACAGTGCTACAGATAGCTAGTTTGTCTCCCCACATTCATTTGTTATACTGTACCGTAACAATCAGTTCCTACATAAAGTGGTCACAAGACGACGACAGACTACAGTGCTACAGTTAGCTAGTTTGTCTCCCCACATTCATTTGTAATACTTTGTACCGTAACAATCAGTTCCTATATAAAGTGATCACAAGACGACGACAGACTACGGTAATACATTTAGCTAGTTTGTCTCCCCAAATTCATTTGTTATACTTTGTACCGTAACAATCAGTTCCTATATAAAGTGATCACAAGACGACGACAGACTACAGTGCTACAGTTAGCTAGTTTGTCTCCCCACATTCATTTGTTATACTTTGTACCGTAACAATCAGTTCCTATATAAAGTGATCACAAGACGACGACAGACTACAGTGATGCAGTTAGCTAGGTTGTCTCCCCACATTCATTTGTTATACTTTGTACCGTAACAATCAGTTCGTATATAAAGTGATCACAAGACGACGACAGACTACAGTGCTACAGTTAGCTAGTTTGTCTCCCCACATTCATTTGTTATACTTTGTACCGTAACAATCAGTTCCTATATAAAGTGATCACAAGACGACGACAGACTACAGTGCTACAGTTAGCTAGTTTGTCTCCCCACATTCATTTGTTATACTTTGTACCGTAACAATCAGTTCCTATATAAAGTGGTCACAAGACGACGACAGACTACGGTGCTACAGTTAGCTAGTTTGTCTCCCCACATTCATTTGTTATACTTTGTACCGTAACAATCAGTTCCTATATAAAGTGATCACAAGACGACGACAGACTACAGTGCTACAGTTAGCTAGTTTGTCTCCCCACATTCATTTGTTATACTTTGTACCGTAACAATCAGTTCCTATATAAAGTGATCACAAGACGACGACAGACTACAGTGCTACAGTTAGCTAGTTTGTCTCCCCACATTCATTTGTTATACTTTGTACCGTAACAATCAGTTCCTATATAAAGTGATCACAAGACGACGACAGACTACAGTGCTACAGTTAGCTAGTTTGTCTCCCCACATTCATCTGTTATACTTTGTACCGTAACAATCAGTTCCTATATAAAGTGATCACAAGACGACGACAGACTACAGTGCTACAGTTAGCTAGTTTGTCTCCCCACATTCATCTGTTATACTTTGTTGATCACAAGACGACGACAGACTACAGTGCTGCAGTTAGCTAGTTTGTCTCCCCACATTCATTTGTTATACGTTGTACCGTAACAATCAGTTCCTATATAAAGTGATCACAAGACGACGACAGACTACAGTGCTACAGTTAGCTAGTTTGTCTCCCCACATTCATTTGTTATACTTTGTACCGTAACAATCAGTTCCTATATAAAGTGATCACAAGACGACGACAGACTACAGTGCTACAGTTAGCTAGGTTGTCTCCCCACATTCATTTGTTATACTTTGTACCGTAACAATCAGTTCCTATATAAAGTGATCACAAGACGACGACAGACTACAGTGCTACAGTTAGCTAGGTTGTCCCCCCACATTCATTTGTTATACTTTGTACCGTAACAAGCAGTTCCTATATAAAGTGATCACAAGACGACGACAGACTACAGTGCTACAGTTAGCTAGTTTGTCTCCCCACATTCATCTGTTATACTTTGTACCGTAACAATCAGTTCCTATATAAAGTGATCACAAGACGACGACAGACTACAGTGGCACAGTAAGCTAGTTTGTTTCCCCACATTCATTTGTTATACTTTGTACCGTAACAATTAATTCCTATATAAAGTGATCACAAGACGACGACAGACTACAGTGCTACAGTTAGCTAGTTTGTCTCCCCACATTCATTTGTTATATTGGCCTTCTTCCGCCTCTGCCAAATTCTGCTGAATACACTTCCGTCGCCCGCCCTCCCCTCCCACCATCACTCGCTGTCACCAGATCCGGCGCATCTTGATCGCTTTTGTTTGTCTCCTCCGTCTTGACTTTGGTCGAACTAGAGTAAATTAAGAAATTATCTCGTATTAAAAGAAATAAGAACCTAGTTTCTACATTTTTTTATAATGTTATCAATGCTTAATAAAATCAAATAATTATATAATGTATTTCTTCATGTAATCAATGAATCTTGAGGACAAAATTCCCTGACTTTTCCAGGTTTTTCAAACTGATATTATATTTTTTACAGGATTACTGCAAGTCGATATCGACCAATCAAAATCAAAAAAATATTAGAAAAAATGTAAATATTTAACTTATTTAATCATTCATAAATACAAAACTTGTTTCCAACTATGTACATATCGATTCCATCCCCGTACAGATTAATAACTATCGATATAAAAAAGTGCATCAAGTGCTGATGTTGTTCTTTTTGCCATTAGTCATCACCCTGGTAAAAACATGTTTGGGTGCAGAATGTTCCATATCTGTAATAAAAGTAGTCTTTAAGGAGGAATTCCAGAATTTTTTCATAATTCCCTGACTTTTCCAAACCAACCAAATTCCCTGAGTTTTCCAGGTTTTCCCTGAACGTACCAACCCGGAATAAGGAGATGATAGACAGAGTAAGTAAAGAATCAAGATGATTCTTAAAAAACTACAGTTTGAATATTTAAAATTCGAGACGAGAGGCGAAGATGGGCGGAAGTGCAAGACGTACAAATAGAGCTGTGCCAGTAGATCTATGCTGAAGTTGGAAGAGCTGACGTCACCTTCAACACAACGCCGACATTGCAACAAATGAGGAAAGAACTGATGATTGTAAGATATGACTGACAGTCAGCTACAACTACTCTTGAGGACATGTTGTGGTGTAGATGATCATCAGAGTATTGACCGGGGGCCCGCGGGGGCGTGTCCGTGGGCGGGTGGACACGTAACCATGCGGTGGTCACCGGATGTGCCCGTGACTTCCGGCGCGTCAACCAATTACGTGGCAGAACGCCTACCAGTGGTTGTGGTTGGGGACTGTGGCAGTCGTGCGCCCCACGTCCGCCACCACCATAGAGTAATCAGAGTATGGAAGCCAACACCATGGAGTAATGAGAGAGGCGGCGTTGGTGAATCCAGTTCGTTGTTCTTGACTAGGTCTTCTCCTTCTCATAACCCATACGGTACTTGAATTTTGTTCGGATTAGTACAGTAAAGAAAAAGTGGAATTCCAAATTGTATCTTGAATTATTACATTAGAAAGACGTATTTGTAACAGGGTCCTAGATGCAACACATCTTTGGAATTCGATTATAAAGTACAATACTGTACATACAACTGGATATAGAGTGGCCAGCAACCACTTGTATTATGTGTTCGCTGTTAGAGGGAGTTTGCTTATTATCTAAAATTTTTCCTAAAGTTATTTGGACTGAAACAATAATCAATGTAGATAATAATGTTTAGGATTTAACGTTATAAATGGAGTAATACTACCTTCGTACCCTCCACTGGAAAAATAAACGTAAGTTGTATCCATATGAGATGTGTATACCAATCAACGTTACCAAAATGTAAAACCTTTTTTCTAATTATCAATAACCTACTCATGGAATAATAAGCTACTTGGCATAGCTAGGATTGCTTTCAGAGCATTGAACACCAGTTGAGCGGAGCGATCACGTTTCTTAATTGTATATGAAGTACAATCGAATTGTGCCTCTACAATCATTGGTCGGCGTGTAACTTTTTTACCGTAGTTTTAAAGATCACATTAACTTATTTATCTTTTGTATTCTTATCCCGTAGCACGGGTAAAACAACTAGTTTTCATAAAATCAATATTTTTCCTAACAAAAACATTTAGTCAAATTAGTAGTAAAGGAGCACTCAAAACTAATCCGATTCCGGGTCCAGGTCTTACCGTGACACCAACGGTAATAGCAATATATGGGAAATTCTCTAAACCCTGAAGTAGGCAACAGCGAGCACAGAATAAAAATTTTTATTCTGTGCTCGCTGGTAGGCAAGGCCAATTGAAATGTTTTAGTTTCTTCACAAACCTTCCCACTATTTGTCGGAATAACCTTGGTAAGTTTGGATCCCAAAGAGCAACGCTTCGCTTCATTCAATTATCGAGTACACGTAAAATATTTATTTACCAATCCATAAGACCCACCGTAAAATGGAACATTGTTGCAATGCACACAATAATTGACCCGCCGCGGCTCCACCGACCGACAACCCTGTCGCACGACGAGAAGGGGAGGCTCAGTGGTATAATTTTTAATTTCAAGGAGCACCAGCGTTGTTTGTTCTTGTCTCGTGTTTTTGTTCTTGTTTGTCTCTAATCCGACATCTGTAAGCCACCGAGATAGCCTCGACACACGCCACCTGAGACGAAGCTGCTGTGTTGTGTGCTTTTAATTATATCAGATTTACCTCTCCGCCGTCACGAGCTTAGTGGACGGTTTTAACGTGTCAAACAACACTTTCGCGTCGTCAACCTATCGGATTGTATATAATGTAAGTTGTACGATGGCTAAAAGCTCAATCATTGTATGTCCATTTTTGTGAACTTTCGGAAACGCAAAAACAAGATTTAACTCTGAGGAAAACATTGATTAACACTATACCCACAAAAAATATAAAATATTGCCCAATGTTATACTGCAAACGATAGTTATAACCATTATGAGCTAACCTTAACTATTTCTGCCTATTATAATTAAATATTTAACGAGGACGGACATACTATAAGTGTGCCCTTCTCTTTAGTTCCCAAATATTGTATGTCCACTAGAATTTGATCCATAAGTTTTTCTTTAGTGCTCAAATGGTGTATGTCATCCTAGGCCATTTAACCTTACGAAATACTGACTCTACAGTCAGTATGAAGATAGGACATACAGTGGCTGTGCACCAAGATGTACATCTTGGGTGTGCACATCCTAATGTTCTCTTCATCAAAACTAGAATATGTTTCATTTCACCATGACATCGTGGTATTTTTGGTTGAACATACAATGTTGATGCAGGTGGAAAGAGCTCATCTTCCCCTTTAAATTGATACCAATAACTCGATTTAACAAAAAATGGACATACAACGGCTGTGCTTTAAATAAAAAAAAAAAATAAATATTACATTATTGTCACATACACAAGAATACATTCCAAGTTTCTAGCGCAGCTAGAGGAACAGGTGACATTGTCAAATATGCATAATATAAAACAAAGAAAACATTCCATAAATTAAAATAGTATTAAAGTAAAATTAACTATAAACTGAGTTATTGCCCAAAGTGTGCACCAATATTATTGTCATCCAGAAATTCAGATACAGAATAGAAGGTTTTTTCTATTAAATACAGTTTAAGGTCATTTTTGAATTTAGTTATGCAGCTAATATTCTTGAATCTATTTGGTAGACTATTGTAAAGCCTCAAACTCATATAGTAGGGTGATTTTTCGTACAGACAAAGCCGATGCCTTGGATACTGCAGGTTATCTTTGAAACGTGTGCTTTTAACCATCAATGTTATAATGGTAATAAATGTCCCGATAATTTTTGTTTATGGGTGTAATGTATATTTAGTAGGCCTATTGTGTTTTATTATGAGTTTAACAAGTTGTTGTAGTTTTCATGCTAATGGAGAATGAACGAAAACACTGGGCATTACTTTTTTACAAGTTCCACCACGATGCGATTCCGTTAGTCAAGAAATATTTGCCGGATGTTTTAAAACCTCGGTTAAATTAATACTTTTCACATGTACAAAGATTAACATAGTAGAGTACACCAAAGTGAATTGCATACTGACTACACCAAAAGTCTTTTTTCATACTCAATTTGACGTAAAAACCCTTTTTTACCTTTTAGATTTAGTCCACCTCTTCTATAACAGTGTATTTATCAGATTTATAACTTTACATACAGTGTAAGCACAATCCTTACATGTTAGTTACGATTTACAAGAGTTATACACTAGTTGAAAGCGTTAATGCAACAGTCTCGCACGTCGACAACTGAGAGATGAGGTGATCCTGTGATTGATCACTAGAGTGCACGGCTTATCCGGATATCCGATCATCCGACCCTCCCACCACTCAGCGATAGACTACACAACCTAGCAGAGTGTACAGGTGAATTTTAGCAGCTGACTGTAGTTACCCACCATGTTCGTCAAAAAATTTGTTCCAAGATTCTTTTAGAACTGTACTTAACTATTTGCTATGTGTCGTGATTTGGAATGCCTTTCGCAATAGAGAAGTGATGCTACGATATTTTACAGCAAATTTTAATGTAAAACATTGAGTCAATGTAAACAGGTTCGTCATAACAGTGAGGGTGTTGTGGGCGCCACACAGATGGTGTTGCCGGTAATGTTTGGATGTCGTGTGTGCCACACTGATGGACGATGACCCGCAGAAAAACTTACTCCAATTGTGGCAATTACTGATAATACTGCTGTAGCACTACGCTCTGGTAATCCATACAGAGCAGCGATGTCGTCACTTTAATCGCATCCATTTGCTACATTAATTAGGTAAATTCGTATCTTTACTATCAAACGTTCTCTGAATATCAAAATCTAGAAATCCAAATGTTATTGGCTGCTGACATCCAGATATCTAGCTACAACTCCCAAATGTGGTATAGCTATCTATGTATCTAGTGCGCCAAGTGTAACGTGTAACTCGAGACACACGCCCACACAACCCACCGCAGGCGAGGACTTTCAATTTAATTACAGCGCTACCAGAAGTGAGTCGGCTGTTTTAATTTTATAGTGTAAGTAAACAAAATTCAGATTTTTTCTAAAGTAAGAACAAAATGTACAATCCGAGTGCTAAGTATATGTCGCACTTGATCTGAAGTATTCTAATCCTAAACGATTCTTTAGCATTCTCTTTACATGCCAATAACGAAAGTCACACAAATAACTTTTTGTGCAAGAATTGAAATTGAAAAATGAAAATCAGTATGCTGAACAACTGTGGGAATCAGTACACTGTTGTATCCAAATGATTCTCAATTATTAAAATATACTATAGTGCCCAATTACAGTATGGAGACTATAAAGTTAAGACGGCAAGAAGGGGGACTATGGTGACACAAAAGATTATTGTGCCAAATTTATTACAGTGTTTAACCAACATATACGGAGCCCTGCTCCTTCAAGTCCCAATCTATATTTGGTCCGCCGTCGTACAAAAGACTGGTATCCATATAGTACTGTAAATTTAAAATGTTCACAGTGATAACATAATGTTCTCGCCATTTGACCATTATGTCCATTACCACGGCACTGACAATAAATTCTACTTTCACAATTATCCATAGCCAGCGTAACTGTTAACTGACGACGACGACGACACTGCATAGGACTTGGGTAGTCGATTTTTTCAACTATTGTGTTTCAGAAAGTGTAATATCGACAAACAAACAAATTTGCAATTCCCTTACGCACTATTTTTTGCTATTGCACTACTGATCATGCATGAGTAAATCATTAAAAACTAGGGTTCGTAATTACATATACTAACCAACACAAGTGATTTGTCATAGGGACGATGACAATGTCGCACAACGTTAAAAGTCAGACACCGCCAAAGTCTGACAACGATGAACCCAGACACTTTCAAAAGTGTTCCAGTTTAACGCTGCACGCCAACGACAAGCACGGAAACTTTATCTGTCATGGTTTATCGTCGTCCGACTTTGTCGTGGCCCCTTCTCAAAAAAATTCACTCCATTGTAAATTTTGTTCCGTTTTTCGTGTCTAGTTCATGTTGGTGATGGTACACTAGTGTCGACGAACTTTTGTGTCTTTTAAGTTAGGGCCATTTCATGATGTGTGCTTTACTATTAGGTTAT